AAACAGAGTACAGATAGTCATAGATTAAAAGAAGTAAAGAAAAATAAGCCATGTAAAAATGGAAAATTCACAGAGAGTCTGGATTCTGCATATTATTGTGTTTTTTTTAAATTTTTTGACTGTGAAGGAGCTAAGCATAGAGAGACATTTCATTGTATGGGCTGCTAAGCTAAACCAGCATGTATATTATAAAGGTATCTTGACTTCAGAATTTGGGTCTAAGGATATGGTACTTTGGAAAAGAGGTTCTTTTGTTTTCACAGAAGATGAGAACCTGTGGATTGCTTCTACACCAATATGGTTTCATGGACCAAGGTCTCTTGAAAGGTTGCCATAAACATCCTCAACTGGCCAAGGTGTAGAGAATAAGAGAATGAGAAATGCTCAGCCTTAATGAGACATCCATACCATTCCCACTCCTCTCAAAGATTACAGATCATTGTTGAAGAAATGGAGGAGTACAAGTGCCAGAGACATTACATTAACACAAGAAAACTGTTTTCTGGATATAGCTGGATATTTGCATATATAAACTCTCAGTGGTCACAGAAATATGTACACATATATTCAAACTCAAACTAGACAGAATTCCAGCATGGAAAAAGATGTTTGGTATGAAATTGTCCCTCATAGTTGAGGAGTCACTGACAACTGATAACTGATGAGAGAGGAAGAGGGAGTTTCTCTAACAGTGTAGTTCCTGATAAGCAGTGTACTAGCTTGGAAGACAGTGCATCCAAAAATATTTGAGTAGTACAGACTGATCCTAACTGATGTATTGGTTGGATTTTACAAACTTGACTCAAACCAAGACATATCAGGGAAAGGTGAATCTTAACTGAACAAAAAAATGCATTCATAAGATTGGTCAGTAGATAAGACTTGTGACAGTGTCTTGTTAATTATTGATGTGAGAAAATCCAGAACACTCTGTGTTGTGCCAACCCTGGGCATGTAGGAAGAAATCAAGCTGACCAAGTCATAAGGAGCAAGCCAAGAAACAGATTTCCCTCCAAGTCTTCTGCTTTAGTTCCTGCATTAAGTGAGTTTCTAGTTTGGTTTCTGTGATTGACAGAGTGTGACCTGAAATGCAACTGCAATAAAACTCTTTACCTCCATATTGCCTTTGGTCATGTGTTTTTTCATAGCAAAGACAATAGTTTGTTTGTTTAGATACAGGACACCAAGTTGACTGAGAAGGGAAGGGCAATGGATCTGGGAAGAACTGGGGGTGAATATGAGCAAACTACTTTGAATAAAAATCTCAAAAAATTAATAGAATATGTTTTAAATCATTTATGTTTATACATTTATAATCTCTTACTCATACATGATAAATTTACTGAGGATTATATAAATTTTTTGTAGAGATATAATTACATATTTGATGAAATATACTTTAACATTCATGTGTGCATACAGGTATAAAAGTCTGCAATATTTTATAAATATATGTATGTACATAATTTTCTAAGTGTATCATATTCATAGCTTGTCTGTACTTACATATGTATGACATCTATATTGAACATTTAATACAAACATTTGTGTATTAAAAGACTTGACTGCAGAGACTACAGTCCTCAGCTCTACCAACCAAGCTATCAAAGGGAAACACAGAGAAAAATGTAGAGCTCAATAAAAATAAAAAAAATGATAAAAGACTTTAGTGCACATAGATACACATACACTTTAATATATATCATATAGTTTCCTAAAGTTTCATAACATCCCTTATTTCTCCCTGAAGCTCATCTATCATAATTCCTCACAATCCTTTCTCCCAGTAGCTACTGCCAGTTGCTGGGAGTGCTTTGAGTTGACTTCTCTCTTTCCTGTCTTCAAGACAGAGTTGCTCTGTGAGCCTGGAAAACTACTGTGCTCCTCTGCTTAACTGGGCCAACAGGTCGTTTTGCTTCAAGGTTATTCCTTGAAGCTATGGGAAGTTCCCACTGTTTCATGGAATGCTTCATCTGGACTTAAAGTCATTTATTTGTGCTTCTGCAATTCCCTCTCTCTACTATGTATAGATCAAGCATTTAAAATACATTCATCATAGTTTTTCATTCAACACTCAGTATATGATAGGTGTGGATCAGGTTTTGTTTTGCTTCTTCCCCTAGGTGAGGCGAGGCAAGTCTTACTAGTACTTGAGTAATACCAGTCACAGTCACTGAGATAAACAAAGGTTTTATTAGTGGGTTGATATACCAGCACCTTAGGAACCTGGGAAAGAGACCTAAGTATCACGCTTGCCGGAATCATGGGGACAGATTTTCAGATTATGAGAGTTGAAGTTTGGTGTTAGTTTACCTGATCCACATCTCTGACATGCTTGGTGACTTCAGGAAAATTGCTGGAGCATTGCCAAAATCTCAGGTGTCTCAACTGATACTTTCATAGGACAGCAGAACTGAAGTGGGATCATCAGGCTCAGGTAAGTAAGGGGATTTAGTAAGGTTTTAGGATATAGGTCTATCTTCACAGATAATTTCTTTTCTTCCTTTTCTTCTTCTTTGTGCCTCCTGGGTGGAATACTGTCCCTCTAGAAAAAAGACCCAAGGACTTAGAAAGCATAAATTCAAAGTTAATAAATCTTGGGGTTAAAGAATGGAGAGTTACTGTCTTCTCGGGGAAAAACCTCCTAAGTTTTGTTTCTGAGTGAGTATCTTAGTGGATACTGAGATCAGGCTCTGGAGTTTGGTTTGATCAGAGTTAAAGAAAATATATTCCTATGACTACTTTTTCTCAGCCACATAAAATGAGATTTGTGTCCATCCCATGTTCTTTTCAACCAGAATAGCTTCTTTATAACTAGTTGTAATAAACAAATTCAGAAAGTGATAGAATAATTGAGATGCCCCTGTTGAGCTTTTACAATGTGCTTTTAAAAACTCAATTTCTACATCATCTAAGCCAAAAAGACAAGTACTTCATGTTCACAGTCATACACGGAAATTTAGAAGTTCATCTTCCAGAAGTAGCTACATAAAAAAGGACTGGAACAAGTGAATAAATAGATGTATTAATGCAGAAGGGGAGATTTTAAAGGAGTCCCACACTGAGATAAGGAACTGAAGACCACTAATGACTCCTGGGAGAAGGAGAATTTGCCTGCCTCATGGATGAGTTCGCTTAATGGTTGTTCAATACAGAATGGTTAGCCTTGAAACCATACACACACAAAATATGCACAAAGAAAAAGTAGCCCAACATGGTGTGTATATGTTTCTGTGTATATACAAAATTCATATATGCATATATATATACATTTTCTTAATTGCTGATGTTACAATGACATGGTTTTGTATATTACAATGAAATAATTGACTACATGCACATATACATACTCACAAATATGTACTCATCTGTGTATATATGCGTGTGTGTGTGTGTGTAACAATAGTAAAGTAATAGAGGCTGTTGGCTTGAGAGTGGTGATGTGAAAGAAGCTAGAGAGAGGAAGGGGAGAAGGAAGTAATGTAAGTCTATTTGAAATAAACATAGTTTTAAAAAGTTGATATCATTGTAAGATGCAGAATCTTTGTCATTAGACTGGAAAGGGGAAGGAGATGGAGAAGTGAGAGATATGTGTTCTTTTCAAATGTGTTAAAACACAGTTATCTAGGAGAAATAGTTATCATAGGGCAACTCTGGTTTAAAACAATTTGCTCCTGGTGGTGCATACATTAATCCCAGCATTTGTGAAGCAGAGGCAGGCAGGTCTATGAGTTTAAGACCAGTCTTGTCTACAGAACAGTTTCCAGGACAGTGAGGGCTAAAGAGATAAACTCTGTCTTGAAAAATCAAAATGAATAAATAAATAAAAGGAATCATGGTGTGCTTTTAAAAGAACTGGAAGAGATCAACAATAGGCTCTAGCTTGAAAAGTTTATATGTAGAAGCATCACACTGCAGCACATAAAATGTACAGTTATTAACTTTCAATTAATAGAATGTTAAAGAAAATTAAAATTGGAATTTCTGAATAAAATATGTAATTTTCTTGGAAACATTTTAACTCACAGCGACTGTGATTACATGCATAAAACTTGTTCAGGATTAGTGCCATCATTTGCCATTGGGGAAACAGGAGAAATTCGCAAGACCTCATCCTACTCTGTGACTTTATGTGAAGCTAATAATGGCTGGGGAAGGGAAAAAATGCTTTTGCAATGGTGTAGCCACTGGTGAACCACGTTCCTGTAAACAAACCTTTTACCGTGGTCCTGTAAATATTATTATTAAATTCAAAAGATTATCAAACAAAAAGACATGAAATTATGAAGGAAGTAATTGGAAAGAGGAAGATTAACAGGAATGGACAAGCATAAGAGAGGGCAATAGAGGTGACTAGAAAGTATATACATGATTAAAATGTCATAATGACATCAATTATGTATAAAAAACGAAAAGGAATGGAAAGATAACTGAGTGATTAAAAGTATATATTTGCTCTGGAAGGACCCTGGTTCAGTTCTGGCAGTCAAAAGGTGATTCACAATCATATTTAACTCCAGTGCCAGGCTTTCCGATAACCTCTTCTGACCTCTATGGAAACCAGAAATGTAAATAATTCATAAATATATGCAAATGACACACACACAAAATAATTTTATTAAAAAAATGCGAAACTTATTTGATATTACACACAAACATACATGGAAACATTTTATTTTGTTCATCCAAAATTCAAGAAGGATATATCATAAACATTTTTATATTACTAAATAAATAGCATATCAGATGAAGGTATAGTGTAGTGATATTTCATTTATATTTTAATAAATAAAGCTTGCCTGAAGATCAGAGAGTAAAACAGCCTCCCTTGTCAGCCTTACAGACCAGGTAGTTGTGACACACAACTGTAATCCCAGTAGCCACACTAGTTTGCCTTAGAAACTGGGTGGTGCATGCCTTTAATCCCAGAGGAACTTGATTTTTGCAACTTGTTGCTTGTGTTTTCACTGGTCATTGTTTTTTGTCTCCTGAAAGGTATAATGGGAGCTACAGGAGTACTTCTTGGCACACACTGTGTTGCCTTGTTCCTCCTTCAGATGGTAGCACGGAGTGCAGGTATGAATCTCTCACTTGCATTTATGAGCCTTAGCAATGCCAAGTATGCCAGGAAAATCAAGGTATGGTACAAGAGAGGATATTTAAACCATAGTCCCTAACATTTAAGTGTAGCAGTGAAGTGAAGACAGTTAAGAGATTATCCAGCTGAGAGGAGCAAGTAATTATGTCTAATCAGCACATAGTCTTTCCTTGTGTTTGTTTCAGCTTCCAGGAAGACAGTACTGTGAAATAGATCAAATGCTTGCCTTGAGGACTCAATATTCGTAGAACTTATATATCACTTCTATGCTGAGGAATTGGTATAGGCTGCAGATACATATTAAAATTCATCTGAGTCAAGAATATAGTAGGAGGAAAGGAAGAGAAATTAAAATGGAATAGGAGAATGAGATTTTGACTTTGCAGGAACATCTTTGCAAAGCACAAATAAATATAGATCACTCAAAGTTATCTAAATGAGAAGACTTGAATGAAAATGATATTTAAGGTGTAGAATATCGCAACAAAAACTCACTGTCCAATGACGAAAATCTCATTGTTGCACATTTACTTAGGTTCCATACTGATTGGACACATTCCTGATATTATAAATTTCATTTGGTAATGAAAGATATTGAGTTGTGGTTTTATCTTACCCCATTACTTGGTGCTTTTTTGTGGATTATTTTTATATATGTATGAAGCAATTTTAGTAACCTCTATTGTATTTGATTTCTATGTAGCCTGTCATATCAGCCTTGGTTTTGCTGTCCCCTGGTCTCTTCTTCATTTTCCCACCTCCATTTGATCCTCCCATTACTTTCCATGTTCACCCATAACAACATATTTTGTTTTCCCTCCCCACTAATCACTTACTCTATATCTAACCTCTGGTTATATGGGTGGTAGCTTTCTTATTGAAGACTTAAAAGCTAGCAACGACATATAAGTGAATACATTCTTGCCTTTCTGGGTCTAGATTACCTTACCTCATACAGGATTATTTTTTCTAGGTCCATCTATTTACATGCGAATTTTATTTCATATTTTGAAATTGCTGAATTCAAATATTCCATACTATAGATGTATAATATTTTCTTCATTCACCCATTGAAAAGCATGTAGGTTGTTTCCAATTTTGAATATTATGGATAAAGCTGCAATTAACATGATTGAGCAAGTGTTTTTATATCAGGAAAAAGCATCCTTTTAGAATATTCTCAAGAGTAGCTCTTCAGGTAGACCTGTTCTCAGCTTCCAGAGAAACCCCCATACTGATTTCTTTTGTGACTGTACAGTTTTGAACTCCCACTAGCAATGGATGTACACTCTTACTTCACATTCTCGTCAACATGTGCTGTCATTTTTATTGGTAAAGGCAATTGAAGGGTGGAAGATGAAATATGAAAGTATTTTTGATTTGCATTTCCCTGGTGGCAAAGGTTGTTGAACACTTCTTTTCTTTCTTTTTTTTAGTATAAATATTTTGTTTTATTTTAAAACTATAGAAAATTTCAGCATGCTTATATATTGAAGGAACAAAAATCAACAGAGAGTAAAGTGTGAAAAACAGAAGTCTGAGCTAAAGGGTTCCCTAGCCCGTGCAATAGAACCTGAGTTCTAGTCCCTGTACCAGAATAAACATACACAGCAGGGGAGCATGTGTGCCTAATGGAACCAAGTTTCTGAAGACAATGGGAAGGGGAGAAAACCCAGGAGAGAACACTCACCTGTAATGCTACTGAGATCTGAATGAACACAGCTATTTAGACAGTGATGAGTTACAGATGACAACAAAAGTTGATGGATGTGGACTGAAAATACAGAGGGGCCAGAGAGTGACATTATAGTTCTCTATCACTATAGAATTTTAAGACAAAAAAAAAAAAAACCCATGAAATCATTTTCTTTCTTTAAGTGTTTCACAATCCTTTGTGTTTCCTCTTTGAGAATTCTTTGTTTGGATCTGTATTACATTTTCAATTGTGTTATTTGTTTTCATGATGTCTAGATTTTTAATTTTTATATATTTTACATAGTAGTCGTATATCAAATGGGTAGTTTGTAAAAATCTTGTTCAAATGATAGTGTTCTTCGCTATGTAAAAACTTATCAGTTTCACGAGGTCCCATTTATTAAACTTTGTTCTTAGTCCCTATGCTAAAGCCATTCAGTTCTGAAAGCTTTCTCCTGTGCTAATGAGTTCAAGACTATTCCCAATTTTTTTCTATTAGATTCAGTATATCTGAACTTATGTTGAATTCCTTGATTTATTTGGAGTTGTTTTGTACAGACTGATAAGTATGTTTTTACATTCTTCTACATCCAGTTTGACCAGTACCATTTGTTAAAGATGCTGTCTATATATATATATATATATATATATATATATATATATATATATATATATATATAACTCCATTATCAGAAAGTAGGTGACCATAGGTGTATGGACTATTTATGTTTGGGACTGCAATTTGATTTCAGTGGTAAATGTATCTGTTTTTGCTCAGATACTATGTGGTTTTCATTTCTATATAGTTTTGTACCTGAAAATTGTCCTTTCAAGATCCCTGCAGAAGTATTTTGGAATTTTTTGGGGTGTTTCATCGAATAGGTTCTTTTCTTAGGATGGTCATTTTTGCTATATTAATCTTATTGATCCATAAGTATAGGAGATCTTTTCATCTGATATCTTATTCAGTGTCTTAAGGTTTTATCACACTTTCATATGCTTGGCTAGACTTACCATGATATATTTCATATTATTTGAGGCTACCATGAAATGTGTTGTTTTTCTGATGTCTTTTTTAGTTCATTTGTTATTTTTATATAGGAAAGCTGCTAATTTTATGAGTTTATTTTAAATCTGGCTACTTTATTCAGTGTTTATTAGCTTTAGGAATTTCCTGATTTCCTGGATGTATTCTTTCCTGAATGTATATATAATAATCTGCAAAAGTACTTTAACTTATTTTCTTCTTATTTGAATCTGCTATATATGTACTTTGAGTATAATGTGATATGGGGAATTTCTTTTCTGGTCTTGTATATTTGGTGTTCTGTATGCTTCTTTTACTTTGAAAGACATCACTTTGTTTTAAATTAAGGATATTTTATTCTATTATTTTATTTTGTTGAAAATATTTCTGTGTCTTTGACTGTGTTTATTCTTCTTTTTCTTTTGCTATTATTCATGAATTTGTTTTTTGTTTTCATAATGTTCCAAAATCCTTGAGTGTTTTGTGCCTAAGTTTTATTAGATTCAACAGTTTCTTTGACATAGAAACCTATTTCTTCTAACTGGTCTTTAATGCCCAAGATACTCTCTTCTGTCTCATGGGTTCTATTGGTGAGTTTTGCCTCCGAGATTGTTGTTAAAGTTCCTAAATTTTTAACTTCTAAGTTTTCTTCACTTAGGTATTTATTTATTCCATTTTCACTTTCATGTCTTGAAATGTTTCTTCACTTCATTCCACTGTTTGTGTTTTCATAGATTTCTTTAATAGATTTCCTCATTTCCTCTTTAAAGATATTGAACATTGAACATATTCATAATAGCGATTTTGAAGTCCTTATTTTGTGTTTCAGCTATTTCATTCCTTGGGGCCTATGTAGGTAGTATGGTCACTGGGCTCTACTTGAGACATACTATCCTTGCTGTTATTTATTTTTTTACATCATTATCTAGGCATGTGGGTTTGGAATGATTGTAATTCTAGATGCTGATATCTGATTTTGTCTTTGTTCAGTGGGTGTTCCATTCCTTGGTTTCTGTTGCCCTCTCTGGTTCTTAAGAGAATGTGGGTGGCTATGAGTTTGGTGTTTGGAATGCTTCTGAAATCTTTCCAGGTGCAGTAATTAGGGGTACTGAGTAGAAAGTAATTTTAGATATTGGGAGATGACATTTGGGAATGGAAATTAACTAGAAGGGGAAGTTGAAAGGGTCCAATGAAAGGGGAAAGTTGGATGTGTTACCAGGATCTGCATAGGCTCTCCTTCTGTAACAGGCGGTTTGCTACAGAGATGAGGATAAAACTGGAGATTGGAACTGGAAGACAGGATGGAGAATGAATATTGCCTACATGCTTTCCTTGTTATTCCCAGTATGTTTCCAGGGAGTGCCCTTGGGAGTTGACAGTTGAGACAAAAGGATGGTGTGGTAGAGGTAGGTTGGAGGAGAAAATCTGCATGGTTCACTGGTAATAGGAATAGGAGTGTGGTTAATATACCCAGTGAGATTCTATTAGAAAAACTGAGGTCCCTTTTGCCAGTGGGTATCTATTTCAGACAGCTCTTGTTAGGTGTGAGAACCCATTTCCACTTCCTACTCTCAGTGCTGGGACCCTGTCTGACTTAAACCTGTACAGAATTTGTGTGATGCCACACCACTGTGAGTTGATACAGGAACCAGTCCTGTTGTGTCTGAAAGACATTGTTTCCTTGCAGTCATCCATCACTTCTTGCTCTTTCAATCTTTCTAACTCCTCATCTACATAATTTCGTGAAGATTAAGGGTTATGGGTTTGATGAAGACAACTCATTTAGCATCGAGAGTTCCAAAGTCTCTCACTCTCTATTTTTCAGCTGTGAGTCTCTATGTCAATTCCGACGTCTGATAAGAAACTTTGATCAAGTCACTGATCTATGCGTTTAGCAGTATGTTACTAGAGTCATTTTATTACGTTTTTATAGCAGAATGATATTATGTTTTCACCTAGGGCCGTAACTTATCTGATCTCTGGTTGTTGGTCTCTTTACAAGTGTCAGATAAGGTTTCTATCTCATGGAGTAGGTCTTAAATCCAAACAAAATTGATTTGGTTTATGCACTAACATTTGTGTGACTATTGCACCAGATATTTTATTAATTCATAATATTGTGAAAGTAGCAGAGTTGGTTCCTTCACTCACCTATTGAAAGACAATTTTAATATTTTTCCAATGTTTAGCAATTGGGAATAAAGTTGTTACTAACATTTGTGTAAACTTTCAATATTTATGTACTTTACAGCTGATTTGGACTACATGTAGAATCATGACTAATGGAAAGGAAGTATAGTAAAGGTATATCTAACACTGTCAGAGAGTGCCAAACTCTCCTCCATAGTGCCTGAATCATTCTGTGTTGCTGCCAACAAGAAATGACAGTCATATTGTCTTCATCTTTTGCCATCATTTTGTGTTGTCAATGTTTTAGATTTCAACTATGTTAATAACTGGTTGATGACTTATTGGTGTTTGATTCACAATATTCTAATGGCACAATATTGAGCTAATTTTCATTTGCTCTATTTTACTCTATATCATGTGGAACAGTAGATTTTAAGCTGAGTATTACCCTGAGTGACTTCATTTTACAGTGCAGAAGTTTGTTACATTTTAAGTTCACACGATGAGTCAGAATAATTGCATACATTTGTGAAAGCCAACATTACCAACCCAGTATAATTCATTGCCTTCATTTATCTTGAGGCCAGCCTGTCTTGAATTGACTCAGAATCTCCAATAGTTCCTTAAAATCTCTTCTAACCATTTGTAATAACACTTTGTGCATTAGTATCAATTAAGTCATTAGTAATTACAATGTCTTCAGGATAAACAGAGTGACCTTCTGTGAAGTACTATGGATGTTTGAGAGAGAGGAGGAGAAGACGGAAGAGAAATAAACAAAGACAATGATTTCAAGAAAAGGAGTGAGCATGTTTACTAATTCATACTCTTAACTTTTAATTATTCTCCTTCACAGAAGCATTCACAGTAACTGGGTTGACTAGGCCAGTCTTGGCTACAGTGGGTAGAAACCTTGAACTCAGTTGTCAGTTGTCCCCACCACAAGATGCACAGCACATGGAGATTCGCTGGTTCAGGAACCGCTATACACAGCCTGTGCACCTGTACAGGGATGGTAAAGACCTGCATGGAGAAACCATCCCCAGTTATGTGGAGCGGACTGAACTTCTGAAAGATGACATTAGAGAAGGAAAAGTGACCCTCAAAATCTTCAGCGTGACTGTTGATGATGGTGGACCATACCACTGTTTCTTCAAAGATGGAGAATTCTATGAAGAGCACATCATAGAGGTCAATGTCACAGGTAGGCATGAACTCCTCTGAGACTGCTAGGTACCCATGATTCAAAGTCTATCTTGTATTCAGTGGTAGAAAAATTATCAGTGTTTGACTCTTATTGTATGGTTTTATTAGTAAGCTGAAACTAAACATTTGTTTTTTTTAAATTAAATGTCAAGGAAGATGAGAAATGAAAATTGCTACAGTGCAAAAATTGGTTCTATCAGTAAACAAATTTTGTTATGCCTATACAAATTGTTATATTTCTCAAACATCATCACATTTCTTTTGGGTTGTTGTAGTATCCCTTCAGATATTATTAGCATTACTTTAGTAATTTTCCAAATGAACTGAATTTTTAAAATATGCTTCCTACTATAAAGTTGGGTGAGTGTGGAGTGGAGAGTATGTGGGGAGGATTGCAGGAGAGGATAATATAATAAAAATATTATATGAAATTTTTAATTAAAGAAAGAAAATATTATTTTTTCTGATAATACTTATATTTTCTCTGAATCAATCTACTGACTACTTAGTACCCACTTAATTTTCCTAAATCTTTCCCAAAAGATTTTAACCACATTCATCACTATCCTCAGATATACTATACATGAAATATGGGAACTATGTGGAATTTATGCTCCTTTTCTTACTCTGAATTATTCTGGATTAAAAATAAAAGAAAGGGAGACAAAGGGTTTAAATTAAACTGAACAAACACATAAATGTGTGCTCTTACATGTAGAACTCAAGACCCAGCCAACTAATCTTTATTTTATGTCAAGCATCATTCAATGCTGTAGTCTACAGCAAAGCTACACAATGTAGGTAATAGCCATTTTTAGTAGTCTATGTGATAAAAATCTAATAATTGCCATTTTTAATAATCTTGTGGGTCAAACAGCAAGTGTGTTAGCACACATAGATATTTTGTTATCCCAGGGACATTTTACTAGACAGAGCAGCTTTGGTACAGTGCTTTAAATTTCCACTCATTCTCTTTTTGTCAATACATTTGGCAAGTTTTATAACTCAGAAAATATGCTGAAAATTTTCGGACATATTTATTTCCTCTAAATTATAATGTACTTTTCATACTTCAATGTATTGCTTATTTTATGAGAAACATATTTTATAGAAATTATCTACTATGGAAATACACAAAGTTTCAACTAAAAATCTACAATTGTGTTTATTATGAAATTCATTTTTATAATCTATTTACAGTGGTTCTAAAGTAACTAGTGATTATGTTAAAAGAAACCATAAATTATACATTTTTGAGTGTTTGAATTTTGATTTCTGCTCTTCATAACCCAGAGACCTAGCTTAATTAGACTTGATAATTAACCGAAATATTTTAAATAAATGAACAAATAAATGAAACGGGAATTTCTCAGGTTGCTGACTGTGTATTATAACATTTCCATCTATTTCTTGATATTTTCATGAGATTCTTATTGTAATCAGAGTCAAGTAGAATTTTGCCTATTAATGTATCTTTTGAAACTGAGATTAAAACTGAATGATTCTTTATTTTTTATTGTTTCCTCTCGCATTTATACCTTTGTCTTCCTCTGTTGCTTTCAACCAGCCACAAGCTCAGACATACAGATTTTTATGCATCCCCCGAATACCAAAGGAGTGATGTTGGAGTGTCATTCAGGAGGTTGGTTCCCACTGCCTCATATGGAATGGAGAGACAGCAAAGGAGAGGTCATTCCAGCAACATCAAAATCCCATTCACAGGATGGAAACAAATTGTTCAACATGACAATGGCCCTTTTTATTAACACCAGCTCCTACCAGAATGTCACTTGCTATCTTCAAAGCCATCAAAGTCGCCAAGAAGAAAGCACAAGTATCATCCTATCAGGTAAAATATGTTTTTGTGTTTCAGGAACAGCAATTGTCTCATGTATTATTTGTTTTTTTCCCCCGACTTTGTTCTCAAGGACTTACTTCTTCTTGTCATTACTCATCGCTTTGCTGACACTTACTCTCTTGGATGTTTTTTCTATTTTCTTGCCCTATAGTCTTGACTATTGCAGATTGCTTTTCTGTCACTGTGATAAAACATGGTGATAAAAAACAAGATGGGGTGGGGGACGAGTCTGTTTGGATTGTATTTCTACATCTTAGTGTTCCTTCAATGGAAGAAAGAGCAATAGCTGAAAGTAAGCACTTCAAGGCAGGAACTGAAGTAGAGACCACAGAGGAACACTGTTCACTGGCTTGTTTTTTACAGCTTCTCTGGTTTTCTTTCTTCTACAACCCAGGTACAGGTGACCAAGGAGGGCACCACCCACCCCCAGGGTCCTGGGCTCTACCACATCAATCATTCAAGAAAAAGTTCCCCTCAGAGGGCTACAGGCCAATCTGATGAAGGCGATTACTCAGTTGGGGGTTAATTTTCAGATGACTCTAGCTTGTGTCACGTCAACAAAACTGATATGCTAACACTGACATTCCCAGGGCATAGCTTTTGAGTCCTTACTCCCTTATGACTTCTATTTATTTATTTATTTGTTTGTTTGTTTATTTATTTATTTGCTTTACGTACCACCAAAACTCTGATAATTCCTCAAGTTATGTCTTCTCTCCTTCTGCTCTCATCTAAAAACTCATAAGCAATTCAAAATTTTAATAAACATCATAAAATTAGTACTAAAGAATTAAACTCATGGTTAGTACCAAACTTGCTTAATTTATTGATGCAGTATCATATCATATTTTCAAATTTTCAGAACAATATTATTAAAATTACTGTAGACTTCCACTTTCTATCCTAACCATATATACAGAGAAATAATGCTGGGTCTACCTTTAAAATATATTCAGAATCTTATTGTTCCTGGAGTTCTGAAACAGACAACCAAATCTGACTCTGGTGGTTCCAATAATCCAGATTTAGTACATTTCCTAAAAAGGATATTAGGTATGAAACCTGATGATAAATAAAGAAAATACAATTTAATTCACTCTGGTCACACTGATAGAACAAGTCTGAGGATGTCCTCACAGTGACAATATAGGCCTTGAGATTACAGACGTGAATGAACAAAAGCAAAATTGAGATGATTCGCACAGCCCCCTGAATATTCTTCACAATAACAGGGTTCCCGTCTAGAAGGTGTTGGGATGTCATTCTCCATTTGATGTAGATCTGCAATCGTGGGATTTAAGGTGAAATTAGGAATCTAGCAAAAGAATGAACCACAGAGACAAAATAGGTAGACAATTGGATATAATTCTCATTAAATCTCATTATTTTTTCACTGTCATCTAAGTCTAAATTATGAATTATTATTTGGATATAGCGCCTTAAAACTTTTCTGTTGTTTATCTAGTTTATGATGGAACATATGATGAAACACAGAGATAGGTGACTAATTTAAAATACTGTCCGTGTTAATCACCCTAAAATTGCTTCTGTTAAAATTGCTTATAGTTAAAAATCTCCCAGTTTTTTCAGCTATTTATGCCCCTGTTACCTCCATGGTCACACCTCCTAGCAGTGTCGTTCTCCACCTCATTTACTAATACGGACAGGTAGATGAGCTCTGCCTGCAGATTTTTCCTCTAGTATTTTCTATTCTGGTATAGTGTAAATTCATCTAACTTTCCTTATCTCATTCAATTCCATGTTCAAATATCACTTCCTAATGAATATTACCTTGACAGCCAACCTAAAGCATGCAACTTGCCTACATCTATGTCCTAGGGAGTATCTGTTTCCTTACCTTTTTACTCTGTTTCCATTCTTATTGGTTCCACTTGTCTATTATGCAATTGCATTATTATGCTTTTCCTTTACATCTGCACGCTTTCCTAAAACAAACAAACAAACAAACAAACAAATAAGTACTTTGTGATTGTATATACTAATCACCCAACTGTTTCAAATGTTGGATTCCACATTGTAGTTAAACAAACAAAACATGATATTTTAAAAGAATTTAATGAAATCAAAAGAAAGGGTTGTAAGAATGAATCAGTATTGGTATCTATCCATAAAAGTAGACATACTTTCTAGAATAGACTTTTAAAAAGACATAATGTTGTTAGATGGCAGTCAAAGAATCCCAGGCTAACTCCAAGATAAACTAAGTATGTTTCCTTTATTATAAGGGGCAAACTCACAAAACAGGAATGAAAAGTCCAACCTTAGTTTTGTAGCAGAGGAATCACAGAAAGAGCAAACCATGGGCAGGTCGCTGTTTTTCTCTGGGTACCCAAAAGATCATGCCCTAACCTGGTCCCACCTCTCGAAGATCACTGGCTAACAGAGATTCCCCATCACTTCCCCCTTTTGTCTAAATAAGAGAGTTCCAAAGCCAAAACAAAACTATGTACACTAGGAGCAGATATCGAGTATAAAATTAGGATTATAATCAATATAAACAAATTAAGCAAGGAACACATGCTGAATGTTTTAATAAACATTTTGTTTTAAAGAGTCTAAGTCTTGTACTGGAAATGCATTGGTTAAATCATAAGAAAAAAGTATTAGGTATGGCTACCTAATCTTTAACCCCATCGAAGGCCTGAGAAGTTAGATTAGTTGAGTAGGCAGGAAGTGCAATCAAGAAGCTTCCAAAATACAAAAGTCTCCATTTCCGCCCCTCCTCCCAACACCCTCCCACTTCCCCTACTCCCTCCCTTCCTCCCTCTCCATCCCCAAGAGCAGTCAGGGTCTCCTGCCCTGTGGGTAGTTCAAGCTCCTCCCCGCTCCCTCCAGGTCCAGGAAGGTGAGCATCCAATCAGACTGGATTCCAAAAATCCAGTATATGCAGAGGAAACAAGTCCCAGTGTCATTGTCAATGGCTTTTCAGAAAGACTCCAGGCCAGCCAAATTCAGAGAATCCAGCCTCATTCAGAGAATCTGGCTGGATTACATGCTTGCTCAGTCCCAGACAACTGGCCTTGGTGAACTCTCATTAGATCAGTCCCCTTGTATCAGTGGGTGATCGCACCCCTCGCGGTCCTGATTTCCTTTTTCATTTTCTTCCTCCTTCTGCTCCTCATTTGGACCTTTGGGGACTCAGTCCGGTGCTCCAATGTGGGTCTCTGTCTGTATCGCCATCCCACGTCGGATGAAGGTTCCCTCTATGGACACTAGACTGACCTCAGACATGCAGTGATCTCTCTTCTCAGTCTCCAGAGTGCTGGGATTGTAGATGTGAGCTAACACTTACAACCCAACAGAAACTGATCTAGACACAACTTGTTTATTAAAAAGTAGAGCTGTTGACATGATGTACATGTGTAGTTTGATGGACCTTACAGCAATTTGGAAAGTGTGCTTCTGTGGCCAAATTTTGTATTACCTGAGATGTAAGGTTTCTTTTTTATGTCTTACTCAGTACCTAAAGCAGCACATTATATACAGACAGACAGCAACCGTGGACACCAGATTAGAAACAGTTTAGCACAATACTCTCTTCTCCCACAAATGGAAGGAAAGCCAAAGCAAAGAAGTAATCTGCTGTAGATGCTGGTTTATTCTTAAAGCCAGTCTTCTGGAGAATGCTACTAAGCTTCACTTAATAATCATTGTATTGTTTCCTAAACATGTCAAGGAACTGGGTTCACCATCAGTCACTGGACTGAATACAGTGGAGCCCATGGGTACTGTGCATGTGTCTGCCTATTCCCCTAACAAAACATGACTATTTCATGACCAATTTTTATGAAAATGTTTGGGATTTTCAACATTTTATTTGAATGTAATTCCAGAGATGTGGCAAGTAAATAGTTAAAAAAAATAAAGCAATGTATTTGGCCTTTAAAATGTGATTTTCACTCTAAATAAATCTCTCTTGTTGAAAAAAAAAAAAAAGAAGCTTCCAAAGCTTGCAATATATGACAGAGACAACTGGTTACCTGAGCAATCACTCAAAGTCTCATTTGTAATGTTAATACAACCAACTTTGGCTAAGACCTATTGTAACTGACAGAACATATTTAGAGGCAGGAAAATTTTTAGATCCATCTTACCGTCTTGGCAAGGTTTGGCAGTCTTTTGTGTGTACGTCCTGCTTATCCAGTCTGGACACCATGTACTTTGTCAGTGGTCGAGGCATGAGCAGTTTCTTGGCCAAAGACCAATTGTGCCATGAAGAAAACAAACTCAAAGTGGAGTGTTTTTGGTTCTCAACATTCTCTCAGGAATAGATTGGTGCTATCAGGAGAAATCATGTCTCAGGTCAGCAGAACCCTAAGTTATTTAAATCCCATGTTCTATAGAGCCTTGAAGTGGTTGAAGATTATCTATCTATATAGAATACAATCTCTATGCATCTAAAGAATATATTCAGAATTAATCTGAATATATGTATAATAAAGATGAATAACTATTGACCTATAATACCTAATACCTGTATAACTTAAAGACTAAGACTTTATATCAGAATATTAAACAATCTGTAAATGAGAACAATGACCTCAAAATATAAACAATGTATAAGTATTGATTAGAGGTAGAAATATGATAATATATCCTAAAAATTATATCAATATACAAAATGTCTTAAACAGATGTAGATACATGCATGTATACAATCTGACAAAATAATTTTGCATAGGTGTAGACATATTGTAAATAGAAATAACAAATAAAATTTGAACTTGTATAAATATACAAGAAACTATACCAATGTAAATTGTCAATAAATAATAGTTTATAAGTATTTACTCTATTACTCACTATTATTGCTATTAGTGTGAATAAGTTCACACTGAATTACCAATTATCCCATTAAATTTTTATTCTTTTTTGGTTTTTTTTTGACTCTCTGGGCCTACAGAAATTCAAATCCCCCAGGCCCATGATTTGGCACCATCTGTTGTCAGATTCAGGTCAAAAATCCCAGGCTAACTCCAAGATAAACCAATTATATTTTTTTGCTATAAGGGACAAACTTGAAAAACAAAAGCAAAAACCTCAGTTGGATAGCACAAAAGCCACACACATACATACAAAAAAAAAAAAACCCAACAAACCCTTGTGGGCCTGTGTTTTTCTCCAAGTACCCAAAAGGTCATGCCATAACCTGGTCCCACCTCTTAAAATCATTGGTTGACAGAGATTCCCTGTCAACAACCTTTGCCTGAGCCTCACTCTAAATCATATTTGGTTTATTTTTTACTCTGGTTATGTCTTGCTCTTTACCCATCCCATCATAACTGCCTTTCCACATATGCCTAGTCCTAATATTCAAGGACAGTAAGACTGTTTTTGTCTTATTGACTGAGTTCTTTGCCTTACAGAAGCTTATAAATTTCAGGAGGTCCCATTTATTAATTGTTGTTATCATTATCTGTGCTACTGATGTTATGTTTAGAAGTGGTTTCCTGTACAGTGCATTTAAGGCTACTTCCCACTTTCTCTTCTAGGAGGCTCAGTTTAGTTGGATTTAAGATCTTTAATACATTTGGACTTGAGTTTTGTGCATTGTGATAGACATGGATCTATTTGCATTCTTCTACATGTAACCATCCAGTTGTGCCAGCACCATTTGTTGAATATGCCTTCTTTTCTCCATTGTACAATTTTGACTCCTTTGTCAAGAATGGTGTTCATAAGGGTGTAGATTAATATCCATGCCTTCAATTCAATTCCATTGATCTATGTGTCTGCTTTTATGACAATACCAAACTGTTTTTATTGCTATACCTCTGTAGTAGAGCTTGAAGTCAGGCATGTTGATGCCTCTAGAAGTTCCTTTATTATACATGATTGTTTTGGCTATCCTGAGATTTTTATTTTTCCCTATGAAGGTGAGTATTGTTCTTTCGAGGTCTGTGAAGAATTTTATTGGGATTTTGATGGGGAATGCATTGAATCTGTAGATTGCTTTTGGTAAGATTGAAATTTTTACTTTGTTGGTGCTATCTACCCAAGAGTATGAGCGATCCTTCCATTTTCTGATATCTTCTTCAATTTCTTTCTTCAAAGACTTAGTCTCATCACACAGTTCTTTCAATTGTTTGCTTAGAGTCACCTAACGATATATTATGCTATTTGCAGCTATTGTAAAGGGTGCTGTTTCCTGATTTCTTTCTCAATCCCTTTATCATTTGTATATAGGAGGATTACTGATTTTTTGAGGAGATTTTGCATCCTGCCCCAAAACTGAAGGTGTTTATCTGCTGGTGTTCCCTGGGAGAAATTTTATGGTCACTTAAGTATACTCTCATATCATTTGCAAATAGGGAAACTTTAACTTTTTCCTTTACAATTTGTATCCTCTTGATTTCTTCTTGTTTTCATATTGCTCTAGCTATAACTTCCAGTAATATATTGAATTGATATGGAGAGAGTACACAGTCTTGTCTTGTGCCTGACTTTAGTGGAATCACATTGAGTTTCTCTTCATTTAGTTTGATGTTGGCTATCAACTTGCTGTATATTGCCTTTATTATTTTTAGGTATGTTCCTTGTAACCTGATATTTCTAAGACCTTTATCTTGAAGGGGTGTTGAATATCATCAAATGCCTTTTCAGCATCTACTGAGTTTATCATGGGTTTTTTCTTTCATTTTGTTTATATGGTGGATTATGTTGGCAGATTTTCATATTTGACCTATCCCTGCATCTCTGGAATGAAGCCTACCTGATAATGGTGGAGGATTTTTTTTATGTGTTCTTAAATTTGGTTTCTCAGTATTTTACTGAGTCTTTTTGCATGTATGCTCATGGGGGAGATTTGTCTGAAATGCTCTTTCATTGTTGAGTCTTTGTGTGCTCTGGGTATTAGGTAGCACTGTAAAAAGATTTTGGCAATGTTCCTTTTGTTTCTATCGTGTGAACAATTTGAAGAGTATTTGTATTACCTCTTCTTTGAAATTCTGGTAGAATTCTGCACCAAAACCATATGACTCTGGGCTTTTTTTTTTATTTGCTTGTTTGCTTGGGAGATTTTTGCCGACTACTTCTATTTTCCTCGTGGTTATAGTCTATTTCAACTGTTTATCTATTCTTGATTTAATTTTGTTTTGGGAAATGTCCTTCTTCATTTCTTTTGACTAATTTTAGTTTGAAGTGTATTTTGTTAGATATTAGGATAGTTACACCAGCTTGTTTCTATGGTCCATTTGTTTAAAAAAATCTTTTCCCAACCTTTTACTCCGAGGCACTGTGTGCCTTGTAGTTAAGGTGTGTTTATTGCATGCAGCAGAAAGATGGGTTCTGTTTTCCTACCCATTCTTTTAACTTGTGTTTTTTAATAGGTGTACTGAGTGCGTTGATATTAAGAGATACTAGTGATCACTGATTGTTAATTCCTGTTGTTTTTGTTTTTGTTGGTAGGTTTGGTAGTGTTTTGTGTTTCCCTTTTTTGAGGTTTGTTGGTGTAAGGTTATCTGTTGCTTGTGTTTTTTTTTTTTTGAAGGTGCAGCTAACTTCCTTGAATTAGAGTTTTCTTTCTAGTACTCTCTATAGGGCTGGATTTTTGGATAAATATTGTTTAAATCTGGTTCTGTTGTGGAATATCTTCTTTTCCCTTCATATGGTGATTGAAAGTTTTGCTGATTATAGTGATCTAGGCTGGCATCTGTATCTCTTCGTGCCTGCAGAACATCTATCCAGGACCTTTTGGATTTCAGTATTTCCATTTAGAATTTGGTTGTAAATCTGATAACTCTGCCTTTGTATGTTACTTGGACTTTTTTCTTTGCAGCTCTAAATATTATTTATTTATTCTGTATGTTTAGTGTTTTGATTATTATATGGTGAATGAACTTTTTGGGCTAGACTCTTTAGTGTTCTGTAAGCTTCTTAATGTGAAATACCCCTCTGTATGCTGTGAATATGTTTTATTACTATTGGTTAATAAAGAAGCTGATTTGGCCAATAGCCAGAGAGAATATAGCTAGTCAGGAAATCCAAACAGAGATACAGAGAGAAAGAAGATGGAGTCAGGTTCTAGAGGAGTAAGATGTCAGAACATTGCCGCTAAGTCATGACCATGGGGCAATACATAGATTAATAGAAATGGGCTAATTAAAATGTGAGAACTAGTTAGTAGTATCACTGAGTGAATAGACCAAAGAGATTGTAATTACTATTACACCTCAGAATGATTATTTTATAAGTGGTTGTGGGACTAGGTGGACTGCAGAAAATCTTCTAGCTACAGAGTCTTATACTTTCATGGTCACATCTTTCTTTAGGTTGGGAAAGTTTTCTTCTATGATTTTATTGAATATATTTTTGGTGCCTTTCAGATGGAGTTCTTCTTTATCTATCCCTATTATTCTTGGGCTTGGTCTTTATGATGCCCCAGATTTCTTGGATGTTTTACATTAGGAGTTTGTTGGATATAACACTTTCTTTGCCAAATGAATCTATTTCTTCTATCACATTTTAATGCCAGAGATTCTCTCTTCCATCTCTTCTATTCTGTTGCTTATGCTTGCATCTGTACTTCCTGTTAATTTACCAAAATTTTCAATTTCCACTATTCCCACTGTTTATGTTTTCTTTATAACTTCTATTTCAATTTTCAAGTCTTATACTGTTTGCTTCACATTTTTAGTTGATTTTTATAGACTTTCTTGGAGGGATTTATTGATTTCTTCTAATTTTTTGTTTGTCTTTTCTTCATTTTCTTTAAAAATATTCCATTTTCCTTTTAAGGGTCTTTATTATTTTCATAAAGCTATTTCAAGGTAGTTTTCTTCTGTTTCATCTGCATTGGGATGTTCAGGTCTTACTGTTGGAGAACCACTAGTTTCTGGTGCTGCCCCATTGTTCTTTGTGTTGTTGAGTGTGCACTTACACTGCCATCTATCCATATCACCCTCCAATAGGTGCAGGTGGGATGCTGTTTCCAGGTGTCTTGGACTTCATTGAGTGGGGGTAGGGTATGGGATGTGCCCCTGGGGTTAGGGCCTAGAGAGCAGGGCTGTCCAATTAGGAAATCAGACACTCACATCTTCCTTCTGGTGAAGGTGGGGCTAGACTCTTAAATTACAACAAACTTCAGAGGAATCACCATTCATAACTAGGTGTATCTAAATCTGTTTGTCAATCTTAAAATTTGTGACTCACTGTTTCAGGTGAACTATTTGCATGGAAAAGAGTTTGGATATGGATTCTGAGTATGATAGCATTTATGCTGATACCTTTCCTCATAACTTCCTGTATTCATCAATATGTCATACAAGGTAAGTAGTATTGAGTGACGGGGAGTACAATTTGGAGATTGGAAAGTAACTAAAGCAATGCAACCCTTTGTTCCCAAGCCAATCCGCCTAGGATGTTCTAAACTCTTGGTCACATGTAACATAGGACCTTCCCCAGTTTTTGGTACAACATTCTTTATTTTTGCTGGTTTGCTGTCTCCAAAGGCAGTGCTGTCTTTACTTTGCTCAAGTTGAAACACCTTTTACTATAGTGGCTGACATCCAAGTTGGCCAGGGAGCTGTAAACATGTAGTTTCTGTATGTCATCAACCGTGCTGCAGTGAGTCACTCAGTAATGTAGATATCTATCTTTGAATCATTCAGGCTCAAGTAAGAAAAGGCTTACCCATGACCTTGTAAGCTATCTCAAATAATCTCATTGGTTTACTAATCACTTACATAGAATCTTTGGTCTGTCATGGGTGCCTAGTTGAACTGAATAACCTTTTTTTTTGTCTAGCCAGAAATAGTTGGGAAGGATATGTTGCCTAGCATGTACAATGAGAAATCTGAGGTTGGTCAAAGGGCAAGGCTTCTATGCAGGCCAGTATCAATATCAATACATTTTTCCATGTTTTATGGGAATATTAGCCTCTTTTCTGTAGTGACATTTGCATGCTCATGGCGATTATTTATTAAGCATGCAACCAATGCTGAGTTGTCTGCGAACAGATCATACTTTGGGAAGGATGTTCTTAGTGAGGATGCTTTCCTTTACATGGTATCAGGTGGAATGCCTCATTGATGAATGGGTTCTAATTCATGTGCAAATGGAGATGCACCCCAAATGCTTAGTGAACTATCCATTGCAATCTCTGAAAGTAATCCATAGCACAGAAGATTACAAGAAAACTCTGTCAACATGCATTTGCTGTGGTTGATAAGACATGATACTGAAGCTCATCTGTCCAGGAAGTATTTTCTTCCATGAGCAAGGGATGATTATATTAAAAAGACATAAGGATATGACTATCCTCCACACTAGTCTCAGATTTGTCAGGAAACCAGAAATGAAGTGAGAATGAGAAGATGTCAACCTGGAATTTCTCGCAGCTGAGCAGAGGGAATGAGTTAAATCTTTGCTGAAATGCTCTACTTTAGATTAAAAAACTTAGAAGCCACTATAAAAATCAAATGATAAGGAGGAAGAACATGGGTTAACAGTGATAGAATATAACCACCAAGTCTTATTTTCAGTATCAGGAAAAGAAAAGCAATGCAATTACAGTATTTATGAAATACTCTGGATCTGAAATCCTTAAAATTTGAAGTGAATTAAACAAAGAATGTGTTTCTCAGTACCTAGGTTGTAAGGCTGGGGGATATGCGAGCAAATGGGACCAATGTGGATGTCCCAAATAGGAGAAATGGCAATGTAACATTCTATTCTGCATAACCTGAGGCAATGCAAGGACATCAGTTTGGATGGACTACATCATAGGAGACATTGGAAACACTTAACTATCTCCAGCCATGATTTTCACAAGTAGCAGGGATTAGTAGACAATGACAGATGCATAGACATCAACAAGTTAATTTGGTATACAGAAGGTGACATCAGTGCCCAGTTCCCCAGGATGGTTAGAATCTGATAACTATAAATTTAAGAAAAAAGTTAATGCCCCTATCATGGAACTTTAGTAGCTTTTCTGAGCTCCGTGCTGCTGTAGAAATTTCTGCAGTCAATAACCTTTATGCTATCTGCCCAATTGGGCATGGCCTCTTAAACTATAAATGCCAATGTAAAGAGAGCATTGCCCCCTCTTCCGGCTGCATGATTTAGTAGCTGTTCCCCATTTGAGCAGTGGACTGTGATCTGTGAGTCTACCCCTAAATAAATAAACCTTTATTATACACAATTCTGAGCTAGTGTGGAATTTCTTTTTAGCATCCATCTTCACATAGTGGAATGTGATCTTTGTGAAGTAGTAGAGGATTTGAAAGATCTAGATGACTTACATTGATATTTAGATTAGGTTCTTAAAGGACAGGTGCAATCAAGATGAGATGAAGAGAGAGCAAGGTGGACTAAAGGATCTTCTAGTTTCACTGAAAAACAAATTTTACTACTGGAATGGTAGGGGAAATCATCATCAAAATATTAAATGCTATATAAAAGTGAACTGTTAGAAGGTTTTAAATACTAAAAGAGTTCAATGAAGATAAATATTAAGATAGCATAGAAATATTATTGAGTTTGTTAAAGAGATGGGCAGTTATCCTCTGCCAGAATATATGATGTATGTTTCTCCCATGCAAATAACTTTGCCACACATGAAGATTTTCCTCTATCATAGCCAGATATGACTGATGAAGAAAAGGGGCTGTGGTGCTGAGTCACAGCTGGTTAGAACTAGGTAGCCAGCTACAGCAGTAAGAACAACAGGTTACGTATCACCCTCTTCCTTCTGAGGCCTAAGCCAGAATGAGCAGCATAAAATAGCACAGCTAGGGGATCATCAAGAGCAGAAAGATCCACAGGATTCCTGCAAGAGCAGGGCAACAGGATATGGGGAATGATGGCTGATGGAATATGAAAGAATTGTAGAGGGCTATAGGGAGTCTCTCCTGTACACACACTTGTAACAACATTGGTTGGGTAATGAAATAATTGGTTAAAATAAAGAATCTTTTCATGCAGTATTTATCATGGCTCATGTTTGTCTATTCATATTCTTTTAGCCCTCTAGAACCAATTGACTCTTGTTTGAAGTGGACACTGTTGAGCCTTCAAAGATCCTGTCCACCTTCTGAAAAAGAGATTTTATTGTGTGAAGCTAACTCATAAGTGTCTTATAGAATTAGAAAAGCACTTGTGAAAACAAAAGTTAAGGAGTTTTTTGGAAGCCCATGTGTATAAGTAAAAACCAGCAAAAAGACATTGCTAGGAGCAAACAGAATGTTAGATGGAATTTTCATTGTCATATGAGAACTGACTGTTGAAGCCTCTGAGACCACTGAAGACCTAAGTCCTCATAAACTGCAAAGGGTATTTCTTCAATTGTTGATTGTGGCAAAACTAGAGTCCATTGCTAATGACACTACACCCTTATACTACATAGCATAAAAATAGGATAGGAAAAATCTGGAAACTCCATCTTTGAATGCTGTCTTTCACAGTGCCAGACGATTCTATGTAGACTATTATTGTTTTCATAAGCAACTATGAAGTGCCCATCAAATTGCATTCTAAACATAAGTGTTTATACTCATAGAGTACTTCTGATACGACAATGTAGATAAAAATTTCTTTTTACGGAGTCTGTGGAGACTCATAACTGGCCAAGCTACTGGAAATAAGTGACCTTTGGTATAACATAGTGACTCCAATCTCAACCATAAAGAAATAATAATAGATATTTACACAACTCTTTCCAGAGTTCAGAAAAATGTCATAAGAATGAATCAAAAGAATGTAAGTGCTGGGTGAAGGGGTGGAGTGTTGTATAGCACTTTCTTTAACAAGAAGAATTTCTTCCTAAAATAGTGAAGGAAAACTCATTATACATCCCCCCCAAAAAAAAATCACACAGCAAGGTACTTCAAAAACCTAAACTTAGAAATTTGATACACAGTATTACCAGTACTAGGTATACACTCCCAAAGACTCCAAGTTACCATACATCTAAGATATACAACTCAATTTATTGTAGCACTACTCAGAATAACAAAGTACGAGACCAGTTTTGATGAGTGTGAAGAGAGGAGTAGATACAAATATATGAGCATGTAGTATGCATTCATGATAGAGTTTTAGTCAGTTAGGAAAATATAATTGTCACTGGTAGGGCATAAAGTTATTGCTACTGGGAAGTTGATATTTTAACTGATATAGCTCAGAAATATATTTCACAGTTTTCTTCATTTGTAGACTATAGAGTTTACAAAGATACAAGAAACTTTTTTAATACTTGTGATGTGAATATAAAAGCAAGATTGTTTTGGGGAAGTGATCCTAAATTGGGAGAGAGACAAAAGAAATGCAGTGGGGATAATATGGCCAATGGTTATGTCTCCATGAAAATATCCTAAAGAAATTCATCTCTATATGTGATAAACATGTGCCAATAAAAATTAAAATTCTCATATGTGTGCTATGTTTTGCCATAGTAATATCTCTCAAGAGTATCTCAAGCCCTCTAGACTTCCTCCAATTCATACAGTATTCCCATTACCTAAGGATTTGGACATGAATGTTTATGTATTTCTCTGAAGAATCTGACTTTCCTCTTTTATATTTCTGCCTGCTCTTCTGAACATTGCTATCTAAGTGATAGAACTTGATTACCCACCTTTCTTTTATGGGGAATAGGCCCATATATTTGAAAGCCACAAATATCTACTCTCTCTATGCTAGATGGCATGTTTTAGAGGTCAATTTTCACGGAAATGTTCTTCATAGTGATAATATCATTGATTTTTACAATGTCTTTTGAAAATAAGTAGAGATGGGGGAGAGATAGAGAGACACTGTGAGGAAAGAAGAATTCTTGAGAATGTCATAGTCCTCTCCCAGTGATATACCTCCTTCTAGAAGACCAAATCTCTTAATTCTTCCTAAAAATCCCAACAATTGAGGATCAATACATATGATCCTATGGTGGCCATTCTCAATATAAACCCCCACAGTGACTGTAACCCTCTAGTACAAGAAAGGAAACTACCTACGATAGTAAGTTCTCAGATTATAGAAACTAGGATCTCTTAGGCAGTTTAGTCATCTTCAGAAACATCCTGTTTCAGCCAATTAAAACTCAGATAAAAATGAAAATGACAACACAAACCTCTGTCTCTTACTCTTAGTAATGCCTACTGATGACAAATGAAATGGAGTAAAAACAAAGGTTAGCTACTTCTTTCTGGACCTGCTTGGTCTCGATCCTAAACTTGCCCCACCTTAAAAACAGCTACACATTTTACTCCTGTCCTATTATATTACATTCCTAAATCTTTCCCTCTTCTATGAATATAAGGAGAGACCATTAAAAATAACCTTTTCACTCATACCCTGATACTCCCCTCTCTGCTGATTCCCAAATTACCCCAGAAACAGTCCCTTTAAAAAGGGAAGGGAGAAATGATGTAATTATATTATAATCTCAAAATTTTAAAGAAATATTTTTAAAATACAACTTCAAATTAACACCACACACACACACACACATACACACACACACCATACTAGTTCTTTCTGTCTTGATGTATTTTAACCAATGTAAAGCATCTCTATACAAATATCAAGTGATTATAACATTATTTTTTTCTTTAGATAGCTTCTCTGTGAGAAATTATCCTTGGATAAGGAGTGCCGTGGCATTCATGGTTTCAATGGTTGCAATTACAGGAGTCATTCTCATCTTGCATCTAAAGCAAAGAGGTATGTGAAAGCAAGAGGCAAGTACCATCCTGTAAAAGTCTTCTCCAACCTTCCCAACAGCCTTGTAAGATATTTAGCAAAAGAAGAGTGACTGCTGCCTGAACTACGGTGTCAATAGGCCATGTGAACACAAGCCATTTGTCTAGACTACAGAGTCCTAAATTTTACAGACTGAATATAAGATGAAGCTGACTGATTATTCTGCTCCAAGAAAAAAATTTCTTTCAAACTCATAGTGGATTTTATCTTGGAAAAATTCAGTGGTCATCATTACCTAATAAATTATTCTGATTACTTTATAATTTTAGCATAAAGAAAATAATAATTCAGTATCTTAAACTTTTTTCCTTTTGAATTTTATTTATGTTATGGGTGTTTTTCCTTCATGCCTAGTGCCTGTGAAAACTGGAAGATGGTATTAAATTCCCCAAATGGTTGCTAGCGACCACTAGCATTTGAACCCAGGTCCTCTGAAGGGACAGTTACTATTCTTAACTGCTGAGTCATTTCACTAGCTCCAGTATCTTAAACTTTTGAGTAAACACCAAACCTGTTAAAAATTTCAACACTGAAGTACCCTGATCTTCTGAGGCTCCTAGTAACTTGTGGCATGCTGCCCACAAACACCAGCACTAATCAGAAACAATTTTTTTTGAAAATAATTTTTTTTTTTAGTAAATTTTATTAAATTATAAAAGTTTCCATTTCCGCCCCCCCTCCCAACACCCTCCCACTCCCCCCACTCCCCCCCTCCTTCCCCTCCGTCCCCCAGGGCAGTCAGGGTTTCCTGCCCTGTGGGAAGCTGCAGCTCCCTCCCCCTCCCTCCAGGTCCAGGAAGGCGAGCGTCCAAACAGACTGGATCCCCAAAATCCAGCATATGCAGAGGAAACAGGTCCCAGTGTCATAGTCAATGGCATTTCAGAAAGACCCCAGGCCAGCCACAGTCAGAGAATCCGGCCAAATTCCGAGAATCTGGCTAGATCACGTCCTCGTTCAGTCCCAGTCCGACTGGCCCTGGTAAATTCTCATCAGATCCGTTCCCTTGTATCAGTGGGTGATAGCATCCCTCGCAGTACTGATTTCGTCTTTCATGTTCCTCCTCCTTCCGCTCCCGCTCCGGACCTCGGGGGGCTCAATCCGTTGCTCCAATGTGGGCCTCCGACTGCATAGCTGTCCTTCGCCAGACGAAGGATCTATGGTGATAAGCAAAATATACATCAGTATGGTCATGGGCCACGGCCGATTCAGGCACCCTCTCCTCTGTCCAGAGAACAATCTGGGGGATTTCTCTTTGGACCTGGGATCCCATATATAATCAAGTCTCCTGTAAACCCTAAAATGGCTCCCTTAGTTGAAATATATTGTTCCCTGATCCCATATTCATCCTACCTCCCTCCCCCCCCATCCCCGGCCACCAAGCTTTCCCCGTTCCTCCCCTACTCCCTTCTCTCTAGCCCTCTCCCCGTCCATCGACCCTCCCACCCCCCCCATGCACCCGAGGTTACCTGGGACTCTTGTCTATTTCCTACCTCCTGGAGGATAGCTAAATAATCTTCATCAGGTTCATCTTCTTATTTAGCTTCTCTAGGATCACAAATAATAGGCTCAAAGACCTTTAATTATGGTTAGAATCCACTTATGAGTGAATACATACCGTGTTCCTCTTTTTGGGTCTGGCTTACCTCACTCAGTAAAGCGTTTTCTATTTCCATCCATTTGCATGCAAAATTCAAGATGTCATTGTTTTTAACTGCCGAGTAAAACTCCTACAGCTGATAAACACCTTTAGTAATGTGGCAGGATACAAGATCAACTCCAAAAAATCGATTGCCCTCCTATACACAAAGGATAAAGAAGCAGAGAGGGAAATCAGAGAAGCATCACCTTTCATGATAGCCACAAATAGCATAAAATATCTTGGGGTTACTCTAACCAAGGAAGTGAAAGACCTATTTGACAAGAACTTTAAGTCTTTGAAGAAAGAAATTGAGGAGGATACCAGAAAGTGGAAAGACCTCCCCTGCTCTTGGATTGGGAGAATCAACATAGTAAAAATGGCAATTCTACCAAAAGCAATCTATAGATTCAATGCAATCCCCATCAAAATCCCATCAAACTTCTTCACAGACCTTGAGAGAACAATAATCAAGTTTATATGGCAAAACAAAAAACCCAGGATAACCAAAACAATCTTATACAATAAAAGAACTTCTGGAGGCATTACCATCCCTGACTTCAAACTCTATTATAGAGCTACAGTATTGAAAACAGCTTGGTATTGGCATAAGAACAGAGAAGTCGACCTATGGAATCGAATAGAAGACCCAGATATTAACCCACAATCTTATGAACACCTAATTTTCGACAAGGGAGCTAAAGGTATACAATGGAAGAAGGAAAGCATCTTTAACAAATGGTGCTGGCATAACTGGATGTCAACCTGTATAAGGATGAAAGTAGATCCATACCTATCACCATGCACAAAACTCAGGTCCAAATGGATTAAAGACATCAACATTAATCCGTCCACTTTGAACCTGATAGAAGAGAAAGTGGGAAGTAGTCTACAAGATTTAGGCACAGGAGGCCTCTTCCTAAGTAGGACCCCAGAGGCACAGACAATAAGAGAAACAATGAATAAATGGGATCTACTGAAACTGGGAAGCTTCTGTAAAGCAAAGGACACTGTCAGTAGGACAAAAAGGCTGCCTTCTGACTGGGAGAAGATCTTCACCAACCCCTCATCAGACAAAGGTCTGATCTCCAAAATATACAAAGAACTCAAGAAACTAGGCACTAAAACTCTAATTAACCCAATTAAAAAATGGGGTACTGAACTTAACAGAGAATTCACAACAGATGAACTTCGAATGGCCAGAAGACACTTAAGGTCATGCTCAACCTCCTTAGCGATCAGGGAAATGCAAATTAAAACCACTTTGAAAATAATTTTATTAAATTATAAAAGTTTCCATTTCTGCCCCTCCTCCCACCACCCTCCCACTCCCCCCACTCCAATTTTTTTAAAGGAGCAGCTCAGTTTTGCTGATAATGCCCAGTCAGGAAGCCTTCTCTTAAAGGAGCTGCATCTCTGCTTATCACCAGAAAACAGCCTGTCTTAAAATATGAAGCTGTCAAGAAGCTAAAATTGAATCCTGTTTTTTGTGAGTCTAGAAGCTCAAGCATATTCCAAGCTAGCTCTTATATCTAAAATTAACCCATTTCTATTAATCTATGCATTGACACAAAGCTGTGGCTTACCAGTAAGTGTCTAGTGCCATTCTTCTTCGGCAGCAATATATATGTGCTTGGATTTCCCACCTGGCTTCATTCTGCCCTGCCATAGGCTGAAATAGCTTTTTTATTAACCAATGGTAATAAAATATATTCACAGCATACAGAGGGGAATCACATATAATCAGATTATAATTTCAGAATAACCCTACTGACTACTCAGAGATTATCTCCAAATAGACCAGGCCGTAATCTTTAAACTTAACTGTCACGTTAGTTTTCACAGGATCTCATAAAATTAACATCGCTCCATGACAACTGGAAGCAATTCTAGAAAATGACATCCCCTCTCCCAATCGAGTTTATACTCAGGGTTAGGGACATCTATTAGGGTATTGGTTATAAGTGGTACAGGGTTCAGGGTAGAAATGAAGCAGTTTCAGGAGTCTCTTTGGATCAAAGAGAATGGAAGGGATGGGATAATAGGAAGATCAGTGTATTAGTTGTGAGCTATTAACTATAGACAATTTACATTGGTATAGATTCTTATATATTGATACAAATTCAAATTATATGTGTTATATTGAATATTCTCCTATTTCTGTTTACAATATTTGTGCACCTATACAAAGTTATATTGTCATATTGTATGCATGTATATTTCTACCTCTGCTTAAGACATTTTGCATATTGATACAATTTTAGTATATATTTATCACATTGCACTATAAATTTCTAACTCTGATCAAGATATATATATATATATATATATATATATATATATATTGTTTACACTTTGAGGTCATTGTCCTCATTTGCTACACATTTGTAGCAAATTATCACATTGCACCATAAATTTCTAACTCTGATCAAGATATATATATTGTTTACACTTTGAGGTCATTGTCCTCATTTGCTACACATTTGTTTAAAGATTATTTAATTTTTTAATATGAAGCCTTAGTTTCTAAGCTATATATAGTTATTGAGAATTACAGGTCAAAGAGTTATCCATGTTTGTCATACTTATACTTAGATTAGTCAGGTTCTTTAGGTGCATAGAGATTGTATTCCACAAATATAGGTAATCTTTAAACACTTTAAAGAAGTGTGAAATATAACATTAAAATAACTTAGGATTCTGTTGACCTGAGACACTATTGCTCCTGGTAGCACCAATCTATTTCTGAGAGAATGTTGGACACCAAAGATACTCTACTTGAAATTTGTTTTCTTCTTAATAAAATTGTCCTTTGAGGCAAATAACTGTCCCTGCTTCAACTACTGACAAAACGCACAATGTTCAAATAGGACAATTAGGACACAAGCAAAAAGACTGTCAAACCTTACAAAGATAGGGTAAGAGTTTTTCAAATTTTCCTGCCTCTAGAAATGGTCTGTCAGTTACCCTAGATCTTAGCTAAAGTTGATTGCCCCAACATTGCAAATGAGACTTTGAGTGATTACTCAGGTTGTCTCTTTCATTTCCTGCACATTTTGGAAGTTGCCTAATTACATTTTCTATTTACTCATGTAAATATTTCCCTTCTCAGGTCTTTTATAGGATTGAAGACTAGATAGTCATAGTTACTTTCCTCTCAAGACTTAGTCAACTTGTTTTTAATATAAGACTTAGACTCCTTAGGATAGGATAAGTATTGAAACATTTAGTATATGTTTCTTGTTTGATGTTGTTCATACTGATTGTAATTCTAATTTTTATGTACTTTTTGCCTCTTCTTTTCCCTGGACAATATTTGGTATTTGTTCTTATTGTATATAGTTTTGTATTAGCCTTAGAACTCTCCTATTTAGACAAAAGGGGGAGGTGTTGTTGAAACTCAATCAACCAATAACCTTTATGATACCAGCGCACTTAGGGCAAGATCTCATGTACTATAAATGCAGACCAAAAGCATGCATGACCGTTTCTGCTGGATTCATTTCTAATTCCCAGCACATGTAGAGGACTGTGGATCACTACCCTTACTGTGAGTTTAACTTTAAATAAACCCTTGTTATACTCCATTCTTGACTATTGTGGAACTCTTTGGTACCAATATATATATCTAATTTTCATATTGTTCTTGTACATGTAGGAGGCATATGGCAAAAGAAATCTGAAAAAAAACAACCTTAAATGTGTAATCTAGCCTTGTTTTGCTGACTGCAACTATCCTGATTCTTATCTTCTCTTCCAGCCTTAGTTTCAGATTCATATTTCGAGTTGGATACTTTTTGGTTGGAAGATATTAGTGTGATCTTCTTTGTGTTGATAGTGTTCACGATCAAGTTTATTTCATTTACTTACTTCAGATTGAAAGGTAAATATGATGGGAATGGTGACTGTTCAAGATTTAGTTTATGTGACTGATGCTCAGATGTCTAGAATGTGTCCTTCTGTCTTAGTAAGTACAAGAAAAATCAAAAGAAGAACTGCATGTTTTATAATGGCTGGTAGTTTATAGCCTTCATTTTATAAATATTGGGGCTTTAACTGGTAACAATGTTGATACCTCACACACTGTGCCAGTTCTTACCACACAATTAAAAAACCCTCCCAGGTAGTTTAACCAAACATTCTAGAGATCTTCTATATACTGAGCTTTTGCAAGAACTGTATACTTTTTTTAAAAAAAATTGATCTCTGACAGTTTACAGTAAAAATTTAAAGAGTACAAATAGACATTTCATGTTTAATAGTTTTCTCATTTAAAACCAGGAAAAATCCCTTAAGGAACAGACAAACAACATTTATAAACTTTTGTTGATGCATGCTACACATTTAAAACATTCTCTAATTCTTGTTTGTAGCTAAAAGTGCTGCCTTTACTGTACAAACATAGTTTATACATGGACATAGATGAGAGTATAGGACTTCTATCCAAGAAGAAAAACTTTTATAATAAATTTTTGTAATTTATCAATGATATACAGTCAATTACAAATGTACACAGATGGGACTGGTGACATGACTCAACAGTTATGAGCACTTGCTACTCTTTTTGGAATTATTTGTTCTGAGAATTTCATATATGAGTACTATATTTATGTCATTTCCTATAGAAGGAACATAGGTACCTGTGATCACCATCAAGAACAAGGGAAGCCAAGGATGTTAAATACACATTGTTTACTTTTTAATGAATGATGTATATTACCTGATTTCTATTTGAGTGTTTGGGAGCTGAGGTGATTAATACCTGTTGACCTCTTATCTATCTGAAAAACTAAGTCACACCAAACAGTTCCCCATACTCTTTCCTTGAGCCTGTTTATCATAGCCAATCTCTAGAGTTATCCTTCCCCAAACTCTTATCATGAAATTTTGTTATTGTGAATCTGATTCCTTAATGTATACAACCTATCTTTAAAGAAGATATCACTTGTAGTTTACAACAGTTTTAATATAATCATGTCTTATGTTTTGTTGTGCACCTGGAATTGAGCTAGTTAACATCTGGAAACTTTTTCCAAATCCAGCTGTGCTTAAATATGCCAAAATAAACTACCCAGGTGCAACTCTCAGATGTTTGGACCAACACTGACTACTGAGTTGTGTTGAACCAAACTGCCTATTTCTCACATGGAAATCAACACTTTGCTGAACTTGGTAGAAGTAGAGACCCCCAAACAACTGAAATCCAAATTGAGGGACTGAACACCCAGAAAAAGTAAAAAAAAAATTCTCCACACAGAAACAGGTGTTAGCAGTTTGATTCTCTTACCCAAGGAGTTGCAACCACAAATATACATGATTTCTTTTCAATCTTTTGAGACAAAGCATTTGATACAATCATTGAAATGTTTGTTAATATACAGAGGAGTAAAATACTCGAACAACAGTTCTGTAACTCTGTCCAAGTAATTATAAATTCAATACTTGGTTACCTGAACAAGGAACCACAGACTTTGATAATTGGAAGTACAATAGAGTTAATGAGAACAGAGCCCATGAAAGGTGAGATAAAACTCTGTCAATTCTTTTGTGAACTGTAGTAGAGGAATGTATATTTGGACCCTCTCAGGAGATTGACCTAAGGATATGTTTGTCTATAAATTCCATGCCATATCATTATGCTATTACTTTCAATACTTGGTTTTAAGATTCTTCTTGTACATTTACCAGACTGTAAGAGACCACTTAATCATTAAAATAGTCTACTCCATGGTGGTTATGAGAAATTTATTCTCTTTTGATATCAGACAATTTCTTCATGATATGTCCAATAGTGATTTTGGAAAAAATATATGTTGTAAGCTGTTTCTCTTCCAAAGACTAAAAGTCAAAACTGTGTTATATTTTCTAAAGTATGTTTCTAGTCACTTCAAAAGTCTTATATATCCTTTTCTGGAAGGTAATGAATATTAAGTATCCCATGGATACATATTCAATAATTTATGGAGGAAACACTTATGTACTATCTGTTCAGCTTAGGAATAGAGTACTGAGCAGGGTCTTAGCAGCTCAAAAGTGAGAATGTGTTTTCTGTGGTGCTGAAGGGGCTGACTACTTCTGATCTCAGAATCTGTGGGTCCAATTCAGTCCCTTATTTCAGCAAATGCTATTCTCACAGCTACTATTGCCCAGATTGAATCTGGTGAGGATTCCTATGACCTAAGCTGTCTCCAGTTCCCATGGAAACTGATTTTGTGCTAGGTTATGTTGTTAGCTCTGGTAGTATTACAATTCCAACTGAGATATCCTAGTCACAAAACAGGCCTGATTCTTCAGTTCTACCTGTAAGGTGAATAGGACTGGGATAATGATGCCCACCTTTTCAGGTGGTTGTTCTTAGGCTACTTACTGGCTCACACTGCTAAGCTCCTTTGGTTGATTCTAACTCTCCCTGTTCTAGGACATGTACCTGGACCCAAAGCATGTTCCCGTATATTTAACCTATTTGTAATACTCACACAAGTCATGTGTTGTGCAGCACCATTTGCAATATTCATTCCTGTGTGTTTGCAAGGATGGACCAAAGGTAAATATTATTAATGGTGGTAGCATATCTTTAGTTATCTCATTTTCCTGGATATATGTCTCTTTGGGATTGTGTGAAACTTTCACCATCGCCAGGAGGATCTATGGTTTGGCTATAATCTCAAAAGATTGCACTACAGAGTGTTGGGGGAGGCAACAACTAAAGCTTCCAGTGCATTCAGCTGTGTTGGGAACCAGATTCTTCTGCTCCTATCACAAGAAAAACAGCTTCAGAAAATATTGTTGAATCAACTCTCATTTGCTTTAAATACTTTCTCATCATTTAATAGTCAATATATACATCTGGTTAGAGATTTAAAAACTTTAACACTTTTTATCTTAGGATCTATACTGGAAATATATGAAATATAAATAGTTTTTATTTAATTCTAATAGTATTTCACTTATATGCATGAGGTTTTTGTGCTTTGAAATGCTTCTGTGAATTTATTAAGTATGAAATATTGTGACTATGTAGAAGTGGAATTTGTGATGAATATATTAACACTAAAATATGTTTTTGATGATAGTTTATTATTTAATGGCTTATAGGGGAAATGTGTATACAGAATTTTTAACAGTAATCAGTGAAGAGTAAGACTGTATTAATATACACATTTCTTCCAAAAACAAAAGAGAACTTCAGAATCAAAAGGGTCCCCATTGGGGATCTTTTTGTTTTCTTGTTTTCTGACCTCTTGCTAGATAGGCCTTGGATCATAGAATACATAGGCCTTTACTTCTACTATTCTCAAGCAAAATTTTTCCTTAGAATTTTATTAATTTTTGCTTTTGTTTCTTGAGACAGGGTTTCTCTGTGTAACAGTCCTGTCTCTGGAACTCACTTTGTAGACCAGGCTGACCTTGAAGTGACTGAGATCCACCTTCCTCTGCCTCCCAAGTGCTGAAATAAAATCAGGAAATCAATTTTCCTATGATTTTATCACTAAAGACAAACAATCTGCATTTATATTCACAATAAACTACCCAGAAAAAAAAACTAGACCAAACTACTCTGAATGCCTTCATTCCAGTATCTGTTTATTATAACCTGTAAAGATTCTGCAGGGGAAAGTGTGGAGAGCAGTGACATAATATAGATCACCTCAGGAATTTCATGAGCCATCAGAGTTTAATTTCTCCTGATTATAGGTGGTCTTTCAGCCTTAATGGATAATGTAGTCAGCTATTATGGATGGATTAACGGATTGAGCTGGATCACATGATGGTCCACAGATAACTTCATAAGCAACTTATCAAGGTATCACTTTGCATATCACTAACAATGAATAAGAAATTCTTTGCTATTCACTTTTATAAGTGTGTGCATGCGTGCATATGTATGTATGTGTGTGTATGTGTGTGTATGTGTGTCTTATTACATTTTATTGGGTCTATAGCTCATAAATTTTTTTCTGGCATTCTGAAGCTCGTCATGCCTTTATGCTTTGTTGATCATTTTCTTTGCTGTCCACAAACATTTCTGTTTTCTGCCATTCTACAGAATCATTCTGCTGTCTACTGTGACTTTGAGGTCATATTTATGAACCTTTGCTCCTTGTTTTTCTTTTAGAAATCTTATAAACTCAGGTCTTAGCTTTACAATTTAATCTGCTGGGTTGATTTTTGTATAGATTCCAAAACAAGGTATTAATTTCATCTGTGTGGACACCCAGTCTTCTATTCACTGAGGAGACTGTCCTGTTCCGTTGTGTGTTCTTGGTGTCTTGAAAACCTCAGTTGAAAATACAAACTTGCATTCAATTAAGTTATCTCTATTTTGTTCCTCTAGGTCTGTTTTAATGCCAGTTCCATAATATTTCCATTACTACTGTCACTTTGTATTTGGACAAGTAAGAAGTGTGATGCCTTAAAACTAGCTATTTGTTTAGAGAATTCCTTTGGCTTTTTTTGTGGGGGTGGGGTGTTCATAGACTGATGAAATTTTAGGATTGTTTTTCTTTCATTTTGGTACTTGGTTTCACTACTGAGTATGATTGGGATCATAAGACTGTATCCTGTTACACAAATATATTTGCATGTTTACTTGACTTTAGACATGAGAATGCATTAGGACTTCTGTCCACCAAAATACAAATCCTTAATGTTTATTCATTCTAAACAGTGCACCATAGTGTAGAAATACAGGTTCTAGGGGCTGTAAAAGAGTTAATGTGAATTTCTTCTTTGAAGCAAAGCTTCTGAACAGAATCCTTACAACTATGATTGCTTCTCAATTGAAATCCAGGATTACAGTGAATGCAGAACACTTCTGTTGTGAAGACTGACAGTGTTTGTATTGGGCTGACATTGACTTTCTGATTTCTCTTTCCACTATGACTGGAATATCTTCTATTGGGGAGCCAGAGTGTTCTGTACCTCTCTCTTTGTTGCTGTTTTCATTCTTTGTATCTTAAAGGGTCTATGACTTTCACTTGCTTAGTTCACATTTTCTCTTTAGCTAGCTACTCTAGTACAGATACATATTTCTTGTTTTATTTCTTAATTTTATAGGTACTAAAAACTGATTTTCTCCATTCTGTCTTCTTAGACTCTGTCTTAACATCATCATCATCATCATCATCATCATCATCATCATTATACTCATTATAATTATTTATTGTGTGTTTTTCAAAACAGGACCTCTCTGTGTAGCCCTTTTGTTTGTCTTGAAACTTGCTCTGCAGTACAGACTAACCTCAAACTCAGAGATACACCTAAGACAGCAAAAATCTAGAATTAAAGGAATGCACCTTAACGACAACAGACTTGGCAAACAACGAATACAGTGTCTTTCCATCTTACACCACTCTGTGTCTTCTTTATTCTGACATCAGCTAGTGAAAGTCTCTGCTTTTAAGAGATTATATTATTATATTGTGTCTACCAAAATAGTTTTCTTATTTTAGGGTTTATAGCTTTAATGACATCAGAAGACTCATTCTCCATATAATGTAACATATTACAAACTTCCATGGAGTAGGTTTGGGTATTTTGGAGGGCAATTCTGTTGATTACAGTATGGCCTTCAAATACTTATATCTCTCTTAAACACAAATCCCATTCAACTCATTCTACAGTTCCCCCAGATTTTTATATTATTGCAGAATCAAATCAAAGTTGGCACTTGCAAATAATATCAAATGAATATAAAATACCTATTATATATAGCTATAAGACTTGGTTGAATCAATCCATTGTAAGTAGCAGATTAAATTGTTTTATTTTGCAATTTCTTTCTTTTTCTTTCTTTTTTCCTTCTTTATTTCTGTCCTTTCTTTTTGATACAGAATTTCTTATGTAACAGAGGCTGGACTCAATTCCCCTTCCTCATCCTTCTGAATGATTATTACAAGCATTTATCACCATATTCACACCTGAGGAATCCTAAGAGGTGGTGTAATGATATTAAGTGATATCATTTATCTTTTCTTTATCTAGTACATAACATTATATTTGTCTAATTTTTGAATTTCTTAGTTTCTATTTCAGATCCCCTATATTCCTTATACAAAATTTGGATCACGGATTTAGAAACGGTGATAGTTTTTCTTGGGGCAATTTGGCTTATTACAAGCATTGCAATATTATGGACATACATAAAAAGTAAGTAAATAAGAGTCATTCTATTAAGAGAAACACAGACCTTTTCATCTCTTAAAGTTCTTGCTTTATAATTTATTAGCCAAGGTTCACTCAGATTCTTGAGAGAAGACGAGTTAATTCCCAGACTCTGTTTTTTATGTTATATATTCGCATTTTAAAGTCAATTTGTCATTTTCTCCTGCTTGAGTTTCTACTTCAAGTGTATAATCAAAAAAGTAAAACGTTTGGACTGGAAAGATGGTTCAGCTGTTAAAAGTACTGGCTGCTATTCCAGGGAACCTGGGTTTTATTCCCAGCATGCATATGGCAGCTGACAACTGTCTGTCATGCTGGTTCCGGGAGATCTGATGCTGATGACCCCTTCTAACCTCTGCAGGTACCATGTGGTATACAGACTATATGAAGCCAACACACACATAGAATAATGAAACAAATTTGAAGACATTTTTAAAGTAGTAGACTTTTTTGTTCTCTTACTAATAGCATATAGAATCTTATCTGTATTACTCGGATTTTATTACACCATGTCTCAATGAATGAATCAATTTGTCTGTTGAAATCTGTGGACCATTCAAAAAATACAAAAGTTGCCTCTTCTAAGATATTTTGATGTCATTATTTTCTAAATAGATAATTTTGTCCCAGTCATATATATTGCATGTAGTGAAAATTACAAATATTTAATTCTTCTATGAAATTCTTTCACTATGTATGTGAAGGAAGTTCTTTCTTTCCTAATTTTACTCAGTCAGACAATTAAGGTAGTAGTAGGTATTAAGCTAGAGATGCCACTGGTTTTATCATCAAAATGTTGTGTTTCTGATATATTAAGTCAGAGAGTGTTCAGATAATTGATATTCCCCAATGATTTTTGTATTCAAATGACAATTCATAATGTCATATTTAATTCTATTACTTTCCTTACTAGAATATTTTAAGTGAGTGCTGAATATCAATAAATGTCACAAAACAAGATAATGTATGAAATTCTGAAAAGGAAGGTATA